GTGTAGGAGTTGTAGGTTGTACATTGTATTAGTCTTTACCATATGGTTGCATCATCTTATGACACCTATTTGTTCTTAATGATTTGCAAGAGGTACAAAAGTGCTTTTTCAAGAAGCAACTAGACTTTCTGGTTTTTCTTTGAAGACGTTTCACTTCTCATCCAAGAAGCTTCTTCAGTTCTGAGGCTTGTTTTCAGCTCAGAGCTGAAGAAACTTCTTGGTTCAGAAGTGAAACATCTTCAAATAAAAACCAGAAAGTCCTTTTGCCTCTTGAAAAAGCACCTTTGGGACAACCAGGACCTGGATGACTGAGAATCTCCATAGACAAGAAGTACAACGGTTCATTGAAAAGGACAAATGTTAATTGCTTCCTTCTTCTGAACATGACAAATTCCTGTATGTATGTATGTATGTATGTATGTATGTATGTATATATTTTAGGTTCCCACCCACCCACCCCCCAAAAAAGATTGGCCTAAAATGTATCCAGCATATGCTTAGCATGAAAATATATAGAACTTCCTTGCTAAAATAAATCAAGCAAGAATGCTACCCGAAAAAAGTCAATTTTGACGTTTCATGTTTAGCTGAATTCTATTTCTGCAATGGCAATCACTGACTCTTACATACAAATTAACAGCCCACCATCTGTCAAGTGTTTAGATAATCACAGGGTATAATGCACAGTATGGTTATTTAAACATGACTTGACAAAAAAGAAAATGAACACTACTTAATTTGGACTACAAAAACTATGACCTCATCAATGGCAAGGCATTCTTCTTCTATATTTTGGCTTTAAGAGTACAATTATTTTATGCTTAGGCAATACCATTAGTCATTCAACAAAATGCCTGAGATTATGTTAAACTGCGATATTGGCTTGATCATGCAATATTTTGAACAGATCTTTTGATAATCATTTATGCCTTGATGAAGTTTACTGTTCTCATACTTACCATGTTGGGGGAGGGAAATCATAAACGGTACTGAAATGGAGGATGACTCCAAACGTTTTAAGTCTGAAGCAGACCATGAACTTCCTCCAACATCACACAAATACATTTCTTTTCATGCGCTCCTATCCATTTCTCCAGCTCCATCTACTAAGAATTTCCAGTGCTCCTTTGCAAAATCTAGAGAACACTCAGGCAGGTGAAGCGAGGACAGGAAATCTGTTCTGTGGCTAGATGATAGTCCATTTCCAGACAGTTATGATCGCCTGTGCCCTTGTAAATGTCTATATGTAGCATACACTCAAGCAGAGAAAAGTAATATAGGAGTTGATTCGCAGACTGAAAATGACTCAAGCAACTTCTTCTTTCTCCAGGGAGAGACTAGCTAGCTTTCCGGTGCCATGTACTGTTACAAGAAAAAGGCTCAAAAAGAGTCTAATCAAATGAATACTGAGAAATATAAGCTAGAAACTAAAAACAATCGCTTGTTGGAATTTTTGCAACACTGCTGCTTTCCCTTTGGTAAAGCAAACTTTGCTAAAAAGAGAGCGGTTTATGCTTGAGAGACTTATGGTTCAGAATAATGTGAACCTCAACTTTCATACATCTGACAAACCTACAGATAGTCCTTCATTTACAACCTTTCATTTAGTGACTTTTGAAAGTTACAATGGCGCTGAAAAGAAGTGGCTTATGATAGTTTTTCACATTTAAGGCCTTTGTAGCATCTCCACAGTCATGTGATCAAAACTGAGACACTTGGCAATTGGCTCGCATTTATGACAGCTGCTGTGTCCCAGCATCCTGTGGAACACTTTTGTGACCTGGTGTGACAAGTGAGATTCAAGAAGAGATTGGACTGCGATTTGCCAGAAATGGTGTAGGGTCTCCTGCTTGGGTGGGGAGTTGGACTAGATGACCTACAAGGTCCCTTCCAACTCTGTTAATCTGTAATCTGATGTCAATGGGGAAACCAGATTAATTTAACCACCGTGTTACTGACTTAACAACTGCAGTGATTCACTTAACAACTGTAGGCAAGACACTGGCTAACAACAAGAAAGATCATACCATGGGGCAAAACTCACTTAACAACTGTCTCATTTAGCAACAGAAATTTTGGGCTCAGTTGTGCTCATAAGGCAAGGACTACCTGTATTGGTCCCTGTGATAGAAGGAAGGAAAAATACTGTTCGGGCTGAGATGATCTCTATGACTGGAATTCATTTCTGCATATCTTATTTCTGAAACGTGACTTCATGATGAGAATTTATAGACTCTTAAACAGTTGAGCTTAACAGAAAAGGAAGAGACATCTTTGTCTGATTAAACGTAGCAAATGTTGGCTGATTGAGGAAGCTAACCAGGGTCAGCCCTGCTTGGTATTTGAGTGGAGGATCCATGGTTGTAAGCTAGGCCAGGAAGCTGGAAAAAAAAAACATTCCAGAAGGAAACGGCAAACCACTTCCACTCCGTTGCCAAGGAAACTGCATGATTGTCCATATGGCCACAGAAGTTAAGGATGACTTGAAGATGATTTTTGCTCACGGGGAATAACAAAATGTGTTCTTTCAAAGAAAAATTAAACATATTGTTGCACTCTCTGTTACTAATGAAAGTTAAGCACATGACTAAGACTCCATCTCACCAGGAACCTTTTCTGAAGAGAACTCCTGCAAGACTGGCAAGACAATATGACTTTTCAGAGGGAGAAACAACTTCTGTGCCCACAGTGATTTACTGCCCACAAACCCACCTATGGTTATCCATTTCATAGTCTAATTAGCCATACACAGAAACACACATCTAACAAAAGCACCATCTTCTACCAATGAAGAAGCTGGAATAGGTTCAGAGAGGTGCTACCAGAATAATAAAGTCTGGAAATAAAGTCCTATAGAAGTGAAGGAACTTTAGCTAGCAAAAAAAAAAAGAAGAAGAAGAAGGTAAGAAAGGACAATAGAACAAGAACAAGTTCTTTACGATCTTTACAGGCTACTATCCTATCTCACTTTCTTAAAGAACTTGTTCTATATTGAAACTGAGGGGAGGTCAAGGATCAATGAGGTATAGTTAAAAACAAAACGTTTCTGGAAGAATATTAGGAGGAACCCAAAGAGCTGCTCAGCACTGGAACACTCTGTGTAGAATAGTGGTCTTTCCTTTGTTGAAGTTTTCCAAAAAGGCTGGTTGCTTCTCACCTCTTACACCCTTCCAATTCATATACTCCATTGTTTTGATTCTAGTTCATTCATTAATCTACCCAATTACAAGCTCTGTTCCTTCCACCAGTTTCTTGCCATCAAGTATTCTATCCTAGATACCTGTTCCAAAAAATTATTTCTTCTATGAAATATTTATTTCTTACTCTACCTGCCTTCCCCATTGTGAATTACTAGCATTTGTTTTACCTCCTCCTAATTATGGATCTGTAAGCTGCTTCTATAGATTAAATCTTTACCCCCTTTCTCTGTGGTTCAGAATCCACTGGACATTTCTCTTCTAGGGAAACTTTCACCTGTCGATAGATGATTCTTACTCAGCTAGGTAAATCTTAATATGCATCAGGCAGAAATCCATTGATTGTGTCTGTTGAAAGTGAACATAGATGGATTCGAGGAAAGCAGTATGCCTTACACTGATGCATTTGATATCGATATAACAAATGATGTGGAAAACTGAACCTCTTGGTTGTCTACCTAGATATACATTCCTAACTCAAGGATGAATGGAAAGATCAATGCAAATGGTAGGTGCAAGGACCACAACTTGTAAATCCATCATCTCTACAAATACAGTATTGTAATCTAATATTTCAGATTCCTCAATTTTTACAACAGATATTTAAAGCAAGTTCATGCTCTGATCTGAACTAACTTTTTATACAATTAATAGCACTCAACATCCCTAGGACTTTACTATTGTTACTGTAGCACTCCTTAATATTCTCATTATTTTATATCAGCCATGTATATTATGCTATTTCTAAACATGATAGATTTTCAAGATAAATTACACTATCCAAAGGTTTAAGGTCTAACAACTAGATTGAAAAAGACTTCCTTTTAAGGGTGGATAAATTAATGGAAGGATAAGGAAGGTGAAAAGCAAATGAGAGTTGGAATGCAATTAGACTACTGGCATAATTAAGGAGAAATAACCTGCCCGCTAATTTATATTTCATTTTGCCTATGCAGCATCTATATTTTGTATTAACTTTCCTATTTACTTTAGAGTCAAGAAAAGGAACGATGAAGTAGCTTGTTATGCTTCCCTAGGAAAAAAGGAATCAGGCTAGGGCCACTGCAGAAAGCTGGCGTAGGCATTTTTTCAACAATGTTATCCATTTTCAAAGCTTTAGTTGCACTATCAAAATGCCTCTTTCTATTATAAAGATTGTAAATATCTCAAAGAGATCCTGTGGTAAGTAAACAAGCAAACAAAACCCACAATTTTTGCCAGTTCTGCAACTGCTGCTAAGGAGAAAAAAAAAATACTGTATTTAAATCTAGGCTGAGCAGTATCTACCCAACAGACGGAGGCTTGCAACTACATTTGACAGTCACAAAAAGGACAAGAGAGTAAGATAAAGTGTAGTTGCCAAGGCAGTGAAAGGTTTCCTCCTTCTCCAAGTATGCACAAATCAGTTTAATGGCACACAAACAACTTTTATTATTGAACCAGCAGTTCTGTGACTATTTTGCTTGCCACATGGAAAATCCATATGGATCCCTTGTTGAAAGCCACAAGGTGTTTGTGCCTTTATGTATGTGAGTGAATTTGTGTGCATGTGAAGACGGGAGAGAGGCTGAAAATGTCACTGATTCTGTTATAAAGACACTCTCTTTAATTTTTACCCTTCATTAGCTCTTGCTAATATAAGAAATGGAAAAAATTAACTTAAACTCTGCACGGTCATTTAAGGTATATCTGCACTTACTAGATAACCCCCATGCAGTATTTTGCTGAATGTGCAAACAGCTTCTGTGCAAAAAGAAAAAGGCCACTTTGCACATATAGAGGTTTTACATGTATGCATGAAAGCCCTAGGTAGAGGCACATATTTCTCTCTCTGGGCACAATGAGAATATATCTGCTGAACAAAACTCTGCATTGATGACAGGAAGGGCAGCTGGCCAGTAAACATTCTGCTAGCTCTGTTTAATTGCCCATACTCCACCCCGTAAGGGATTATGGGGTCATTAAAAGATGATGACAACAGTACTCTGTTCCTGCTATTGTGCCGATTTTCCAGTCTCTTACCAATTCTTAAGCAAGATTGCAAACCCCAAAACAGAGAGAGTCCCTTTCTTTTGCCTGACTCTTCCCACCCTACCACAAATCAGAGAGATTAGAGGAGGATTTCAAGAGAGTAAGCTGTCTGCTCTTCTATACATTGAAAACAGTGAAATTGTTGCAAAAGGTTAGGGCCGTTAGGCAAAGGACAAATTGTCTACATAGACTGTTTGCATTTTTCTTCCACTTCACTAACAGAGTGGAGAGAAAGGGATTTCAAGACAATAAGATGTTTGCATATTGTGCCTGCAGATCCTATTCTTGGGCTGGTGGCATAATTGCATTGCTTTGAATGTCTACAGGACACTAAGCAGGCACTCACATCATGGAAGTGGTTAGGAGCCAAATAAAAGCCAAACATGTCTTGTCTCCTTCCAGCCAGAAAATACGGTAACAGTCCCATGATTTCCCATGTAGCAACTGTTTCACTAAGTTGCAGAGCTGCAGTCCCAAGTATGCTTGACAATTGAGGACTATCTGTAATGGGAAACAATCCTTTATTTATTTTGGGAGACAAAAGCTTCCAATTCAAAAATATGCTTATGTTTCTGCCTGCATGGACAATGAGATCATAACTATAATGATGTTTCCCCAGTTTGGCAAGAAAATATATCAGGAATTCTAAGGGTTACTTGTTTCTCAGTGCTCATCAAGTACAAGCTTGATTGCAGAAAGTACGACTTTAGCAACAGACTGGTCAATGCCTGGAATGCACTACCTGAGTCTGTTGTTACATCCTCTAACCTCCACTCCTTTAACCTTAAACTATCCACTATTGACCTCACCTCATTCCTAAGAGGTTTGTAAGGGGCATGCATAAGTGCACAATCGTGCTTACCGTCCCTGTACTATTGTCCCCATTTATTCGTACCTATTTCCTGTATTCTTACTCATGTTTATACTTATACCTATTATCTTGTAAGAGATTGACAAATCAAATCAAACAAAGTAAAATAAAGCTGGTCAAGGCTGAACTAGCAAAGGAGTGACAGAACCTGGGGGCGGAGTTAAAAGAGGAATCAGCCTAGAATCACTATGTTAGACTAAATCCAACACCCCCCCCCCCTTGAATTCAGTTGACTGTTATTTAACTCCAAGCATGTGCTTAAAAGTTAGTCAGGAAGATTTCCTGTCCACAGGCATGATTAGCAATAATTCAGTTTAATTGGACCTTCTCATGTAGACTTGGTCTTTCACATCTGACAGCTAGTATCCAAACATGACCAGGATGTATTTATTTACTAAATTTATATAGCCACTCATCTCATCAAAAAGTAAAATTGGATGGTGTACAACAATCAAATAAAACATTACTGTAAAATTTATCTGCACAGAAGATAATTTTTACTATACTATAATATAAAATTTATCTGCACGGTATTTGTAATTGTGCTGAAAAGCTTTTCCAAATCAAAAATCCCTACAGATAATTTGGATTACATTACCAGTAACACTAGACAGTGTCTCCAAAAATGTGAAAGAATCCCAAGTTTGTGAGGGGGAATGAATTTCAAAGCAGAATAACAGCAGCATACTGGTTAGGATTTCTGGGAACAGGCGTCCTGATATATCTGGAAGACTGAAGTTGAGTGAACAGAGCAGTGTTATAACTCACTACAATATATGAGAACACTACACCTAATTGTACAGCACTGTGTTTTCAAAAGTGAAGATCTAAGGTGAAAGTCCAGCAACATAAAGTATTGTCTACAGATCTCATTTCTGATGGCTTTGGTCACCAAGATTATTTTGATTTGGGGATAAACCTACCAACCAATGAATCACTAGTCCTACAGAAAGATTTCTCGGAAGCTGGGAAAGAAGATGATAGTTTGCAAAATAGTTACCAAGTCTGGAACATCTACACATTCATCCATTATTAGAAAAGTGGGTAGCCACGTACCCACTGCAACAACAGGTGGTTAAAAAGAAGATAAAAAGCCTGTATTCTAATGAACCAAAAAGATAAATGGGTACTAAAGTATACATATTGAGTTTCCAACATCTTTTTAGCATATGCCCTTTGTCCCTTCAATAAATTGGTATGTGAGAATGTATTTTCTTGGTGGTAAACATTTGATAATTCCTTTTGCTTCCCCATCTCAGCAAGAGAAGTTCCCTCCCCTTCCCTTTCTTCCCCGATTTCTGACCCATGGCATGGGCATTTGCATATGCCAAGGCTCCCTATATGTAAATTTTGAACAAGGATCAAGATAAATAAGACCTTTTGGGGTTCACACTTTGTCAGATCATAACCCTGCTAAGAGCATAGAAAACACACAAAATCAGACCACTGATCCGTTCTACTCAATAAGGTAAAGGTAAAACCCTTCGCACATATGTGCTAGTTGTTTCCGGCTCTACGGGGCGGTGCTCATGTCCGTTACAAAGCTGAAGAGCCAGCGCTGTCCAGAGACGTCGCCATGGTCATGTGGCCGGCATGACTAAACATTGAAGGTGCATGGAACGCTGTTACCTTCTCACCAAAGTGATCCCTATTTTTCTACTTGCATTTTTATATGCTTTCAAACTGTTAGGTTGGCAGAAGCTGGGATGAGTAATGGGAGCTCACTCTATTATATGATGCTAGGGATTTGAACTGCTGAATTGCTGACCTTTCTGATCGACAAGCTTAGCGTCTTAGCCACTGAACTACTGCGTCCCTTTCAAGTACTCTACAATTAATATTCACTGGCATTGGTTCTCCTGGGTTACAAGGAAGAAAGGACAGGGAATGAACCTGAAATTTTTCACATGCAAATCAGGTGCTCTTCCTATTAACATGCTTTATCAAAACTCATTCACGGCTCAGGAAGAAGCCTGAAACACTGAATGATGTTGACTTCTCCACACTGCATCCCTACAGATACATAGACAAGCTTCACTTCTGCAACAAAGCATCCATGTAAGTTCATTCCAAGGGGGATTATGGCTGTGAATTTAATTTTGAGTTGATTTAATGCCCTTTGAAATAGGCTGTAATCTTGAGTGGCCTATTTAAGTAAAGAGCATACAATTGCCTTAGGTTAATGGTGTAGGTATTGATTTGCGGTTTAACCGTGAAGGAAATAAACTAATCTGAATTAACAAAATGGGCAGAAGTAAAGGCAGAAGTTTTCAATCCAATATGTTGGGAAGTTTTCTTTTAACACACGCACATACAAACATACACACAAGCACACACAAATATACAGAGGAAATTAATGGAAAGCTACTTTGTACTTGGCAAGTAATTAATCACTTAATTGGAAAACAAATAGAAAGTGCTACTTGTACAATAGAACTGAGATACAAAATGACAGCTAAGAGACAATGTTGATGTTTTCAGTCTAGCGGTTTTGTGATTAATCAATGACCATCAAAACACTGGCATACATTCAGGTGGAATTCAACATTTACTTCAACCAATGGCATAGTGCCCAGGCGCCGTTTGGTTGTATTTTACAGATTTCCTTACAACTCTCTAAAACTATTCCAACAGAAGCATCATTCAAAGAAGAGAGGAACAATAGGAATCTGTACAAATTGGATAAATACACAGACAAAACATGGAAACATATGTCATTCCAAAACATCAGTACATTGCAATAACTCTTGTCAACACAGACCGCTAAAATCCCTGCAAAATCTCAGTTTGATATATGATGTGTCACATCTGGATGAGAAACATGGTTTAAAAATAATTAGAAAGTAGATTTAAAATGAATTTAATCTACTTTAAAAGCCATCTATAATAGTGGCCAATTATAACAGGCTTTTCGATCTTACATTGCAGGAAATATTATAGTTTGGCTTTATAGTAGTTTTGAATATAAAAGGGCCTCAATCATGCCCTCCCCAGTCCATGGAAAAACCTCTCTCCATGGAAGTGGTCCCTGTTACCCAAAAGGTCGGGGGCCACTGGTATAGTCTATTAGATGTCCCCAAATTGAAATGGAGTTGGAGAGCAACGGTGTAGAGGAGAATCGGTAGATTGTGGAAGAAGAAAATCAAGATTGCAGCCATGGTAGTGTCATTGAAATTCCACCTGCTTTGATTGTGTGTTGCACAATACACATCAAATATGGGCAGAGCTTCAAAAACATCACTAGAAAGCACCATATTATTTTACCGTACTTTATGTGCATCTCTGATGGTACACCTTCATCTTCATTGGACCACATGTCAAATCTTTCTCACAAATTTCTGTGATAGTATTCTGAATTTATACAAAAAGATGTAAAATAGCGAAACATGGTCAACCATCATTTCAACTGGGAAACCTATTAAGCTAAATAAAAAAAATGCTAGGAAAGTCTTGGAAGCTTGGTATTCCAACAAATCAGCGATTAACATATACATAGAGATAAACCACATTTACATACCATTCAAAAGAGACTATAAAAAATAGAAAAGCTACAAAGGAAACAAAACAAAACATCCTCTCCAGCAGCCAATACCCAGATAAGTAGGAATTAATAGCAGGCAAACAACCAAGCAGGAAAGAATAGCTAATCAAGGAACTATCAAGGAGAAAAATTACTAGCAAGCCAACCCCACATTTACTAGCAGTGATGATGTTATCAAGGTGGGTAATGAAACATCTGCAAGCAAACAACCAAGCTCAGAGACCACTGAGGACTCCAAGGTCATAGTACCATTCTTCTTTTAGGCACATGTCCAAAAACATTTCGAAAATACTATCAGTTCACTTCTGACATAGAATCAATGCTCATCCCACAATCTTTCATCCTTCAGCTAGCCTGGTGCTTTGACAAATAGATTTCCCAACCAACTCTGATGGAAGCAACAGATGGAAACAGACTAGTCTCCACTGTGATTGTCATTCAACAGTGACTTGCTGAATGACTTGCACTCTGACAAGAGTCTGACTGCCCCAACTGAAAAGCAGTGACCATGCAAAAAAGTAAAGTATAA